TAATTGTGCGCGTGACGTATTGACTTCAATACTCTATATGCTCACCTACCTGTTGGCTGTTCTCCAGTCATTCCTGCTCTCGGGCAGGCACTTGTGCCGACACAAGTAACGCATGCTAATGTGGCCTATTTTGTACGTTTCCTCATAATTGATGCACGTGAATCTCACTCAACGTGCAGCTGTCTTTTATTTTTAAGTCCCTGTTGCCAGAAGCCCCCCTGAGTCATTCAACTCTTCTGCTTAGCTGGAAACCTGTGGAACATTCTGTATTTTAAACGTTCAAGAAACAATCAAGTTCTTGATTTGAACAAATTATGATTGTGTTTAGTCCCCGAAATCCCGAAATTTCTGGTGGTTCTTGAGAGATCTGGGATGGTTAGAAGTAGCTTGCATCTTCCAGTATCTTCCCACATGCCTGAGACAAGAGGCAGCTGCCGGATTTACTACACGTTAATCCCCCCCCTTGTGTCTTGTGTACAGCACTATGAGGGACTGGCCACCAGGGCCAGCACCAATGGCCACACCATCGACATTTACTCCTGTGCACTGGATCAGACGGGACTGCATGAGATGAAGACATGCTGCAACTACACAGGGTAGGTTATGAGAAAGGAAGCCACTGACGTGGTTCAGACCATCATAAGACCACTGCCTAGATCAGTAACATGACTAGTCACAAGTAACAGGATGTACCGTGGCAAAGCTCTCGTAGCGGTTCATTTGAATAGCATATGACTTGAATTCAGCCCGGATGTCTTGCGGTAATCTTCAGGTGGTACCTGTGGGGTCTTGTTATGGTTTTAAGAGGTGGCAATATGACAGTCTGGCATCTTCATCTTTTCCTGCACTGAAATGATCAGGTCTTTGCATTCACCTCATAAAACAGACTGAATCTGTCTGTTTTTGATCAAGTTGAAAGCCAACCTTTGTATGCAAATACAAATGTACGGGATTTTAAAAAGGGTCTTTTTTGCACATGGTAGAGAAACAATGATGATACCAAAATACCCTGTAGCCCTGCAGGTTTAGAGTAAATCACACTGAGCCTTGTAGTCCTGCAGGCTTAGACTAAATCACACAGAGTCTTGTTGGATTGTGCATAGTGGGGTCAAAGAAGAAAGGATTGACATATCTGAGCAATTTTAAAACTCGGGATTATTTAGTGTAAATTCTCTTCCCAGACATTTGTAAATATTATTTATTTGCTTATCGAGGTTTCCCTGCCACTGTTGAATGAAAATCTATAATTTTTTTTCCCCTCAGTGGTCACATGGTGATGGCAGACTCCTTCAACACCTCCCTCTTCAAGCAGACCTTCCAGCGCGTCTTTGCCAAGGACCAGAAGGAAGAGTTCCAGATGGCTTTTGGCGCTGTCTTGGAGGTCAAGGTAAAGGCAGAGCCCCGGCAGTGGGGAAGCAGGATGGAGGTCGAGGGGAAGGGAAGGGGGATATCGCCCTCGCTGTCCAAGCCCTCGTGACCGTTGTGCCCCCAGATCAGAAAGTGGAGAAGACAAAACAACTTTGTAATGTTTGAAATTGCCCCAAATGAGAGCTTAACCCTCCTTTAGTTTTACAGCACAAATATGCACAAGTGCCCAAGGTCACTGTCTTGCATGTTGGTGCAGTGCACAACACGACACAGCTGTGCTTCTTTGAGGGGTTTACCAAGTGACCCAAAGAGTGATTTCAGCATAGGAGGGTTAATGCGTTTGTAGTGAGTCACTACTTTTTGTGACTTGAGTCAAGTCATTGTAAATGGCTTCTAATCGGAAGTTGTCGCAACTCTTGAACCCAAGTCCCTGGGATCCCTCTCATGGGAAGTGAGAGTTAAATCCATCAGTGTACTGGGCGCTGGGGTTTGACCTCTGACCTGGCATGACCTTATTCCCCCCTTGCTTGACCCATGACTGCCCCTACTTCATTTCAGACCTCGCGAGAGCTGAAGGTGTCTGGTGCCATTGGTCCGTGCATCTCCATGAATGTCAAGGGGCCCTGCATCTCGGACACGGAGATCGGTATGGGTGGCACCACACAGTGGCGTTTCTGTGGTTTGACTCCACAAACAACAGTGGCGCTCTTCTTTGAAGTTGTCAACCAGGTACGTTGTTCTCAGCTGTTTTTTGCATTGAGGAGAAGTGTTAGATGTAGAATAGGATAAGTTGTTACAAATTAGAGCAGAAGAATAGTGGGATTGTGATCTATAGATCTTTAGTAGGAGGGGCAGGTGGAACACACTACCTATCCATAGCTGCATGCTGGGTGTTTAGCAATGAGCGAAGTATATTCTGGGTAGTCTGTGATATGCCACCTCATCGGTCCATGGAATGCCCTATTTACTGAGAAAATTTTAACCAGCAATGCAACGGGTATTTTCTATTCCCTGTTCATCTGATTTTTACTAAGAAAATAATGCGGATGTCTTCATGAATGCCCCTTTTCATGTGCCGCTATGGTTTTAAAAAAAACCTGCCTTGTCTGCTGGTCTGAGACCATTGGGGGAAAGAAGTCAAACAATTAGCTCTGCCCAAAATGTTGCTGTGGTGGGCCAGTGGAAAATATTCATGTGTTATTGGTAGACCAATGTCTGAAAAATGAGTGCATGGAGATTTAAATTAAGGGTTTAACTTGACTGGATTACCTCAACTTGCTTTGCGCAAGCGCATCTGAGCATGCAGTTGGTCTGAGAATTATGAACTGCACAGTACACGTATACACTGGTTCCCGCTCTTCGGCAAGAGCAATAGTGGGAGAATCGGGAAACCATCAACCTTCTCCCCTCCTCAAACCAGGGCAAGTTCGGTCAGGGACCATAGTTAACGTTGGGTCGACTAACTCTGATCAAGCGCATGCTCGTCGACGATGGTTGGACTAGTCTAGTCAGCTATTTGCGACCAGCCTATTGAGGTTAGTCACATCGTTGGATGCCATAAACCATTTCAATAGCACTGCGCAGAGAGGACCCGTTGTAAGAAAACTACCTGGAACACAGTACGTGTATGTCACTGTTAGTAATCAACCATTTTCACTTCTTATTTTGCTGTTTTGCCCTTTCTGCGGTCACCTTTTCTCCCCTTCGGCCTAATGACCTGACAGCCGTTGGCTAGGGCCGTTGTTCGCACTTCAACTTCACTGCACATACTCTAGGTACTTCGCGAACCAACCACTTCCTGTAGTTAACCAGTGGTCCTAGATCAAACTTGTCCCTTCCTGTGTATGTCTGATGGAGCTTTGAGACGGTTGAGATACATGTCAAGCAAACACTGTGTGCTAGTAACATCAAGAGTGTCCATATTATCGGTGAGGCTTTCTGCTAGTTAATTGGAAAAACATGCACTCTCTTTCTCTCCCGTTATGCATGTATTTTCTGTTTTAATGTACTTACCCTGTGGTCTCACTGTCTCCTAGTGTGGTTCACTAGGGCTCTAAAGTGTGATTTCTCTCTCTGACAATATTGGTGTACACGTATGTTCCGTACCAGAAGTGGCAACCAGCCCACATAGAGCTCCATGCACACAGATAAATGTAATTTAAACCGTGGATGCCCTCTTTTAAATTACACTGTAAACTTGTATTTTTTCTTCCCTTTTTTTATTGCAAAGTTAACTCTTTCATGGAGCAGTGTTCTCCATGGCCTTAACTTTTAGCAGTGCGGCAGGCAATGCAAGCATGAAGCGTGGAGCCTTTTTGGCATGGGGTCCAGGACCTGCTTATTGTACCTGGGAAGTTGTGGATTCTACATGTAGACGCGCTGTGGTGAAATCTGAGGCATTTCTTTGGCATTTCTTCTGACTGCTTGCATCAACTTTGCATTTGTTTTCGATTTGAAATGAAGGCACGATATTTAGGGGAGGGGGTTTTGGGCATCAAAATGTTATTATTCTCTGTGGGCGATTTTTTTTAATGATCGGAACTTGTCGGGGGGGAGGGTGGTTGCAGGCCTGATACAAAAATGGCCTCAAGTGCTGTGGTAACATTGTTATTTATGTTAACTGGTTCTGAATGCACGATCACATGATGCTTTTGCCTGTTGGATTTGAATCCCCGACCCTACCCGGTATGATCAGAAGCTAGACATCAAACCCTAACCACTAGACCACATACCCCCAAGAAAATTCAGTTTGTTTGCCAGTGGTAATGAACCTAGCCTTAGGTTTCCGTTTGGTAAAGAAGCCATGTATCTTTTGCTATCTGTTATCATCAGCTGGTGTGGAGCGTAGTTCATTTCATCACACTTGAATTGCCTAGAAAGAAGGTCTGAGTATCAGGAAATTTCATCTGCTTTTTCTTTTTAAAAAATGAACCAAACAATTATGCTAACACAGTTGCAGTGAGGTCCTCAGGGCAGAGTTCATTCTTCGGCTGTTTTCTCTAATCATCTGTTTGGATCAGTTTAAGCACGGGCAGTCTCTGAGTAATTGCATGTTTTCATTTGGCTTCAAAAGTGTCTGACTTTTTTTGTGACTGATTAACCACAGTTTATTGCCCACGGAGGTTGTTAAAACTGTCCACACTCTAATTACTTTTTGGGGCGGGTTGCTTGACAAAAGTGTCAGTGGGCCAGCGCAGTGTGGTGAACTGCAGTTAATTACACGGTGTGCTAGGCCTTTTTGTGAGAGAGGTTACCAGGTTACAGGATTCTGTCTGGTACTTTATCTATCATTAGGCCGGCTTTCTGTCCTGCAGAGTAATTTAATTCAATGGGCCTCGGGTATTTACCCAGGCTACATGTGTGTCTGGAATGAACTTACGTACGTGTACTCATTGGCCACAGAAAACTGCAATGTAATGTACTACTAGGTCAGGACCACAGAACTCTTCTTCAACAAAATGCTGGTAGAACCTGCTAAACTAAATCAAGTAGCATGAAAGGCAAGATGTTTCATAGTTGGCCTGGTGTTCGGTTGTTGTCTTTGAGTGTTAGCGATATATTGAAGCATTGTTGCATTCTCCTACCCAGTGTCATTTGTACATGTACACGTTGTACACAAAGTTTCATCAGTCCCCCGAGTAGTTTGTGAGGACCCTTTGCGGTTCAACTTTAGTTACGTGTGCCAAGTTTTGAAGCATGGAGCCTGCTAAATCCGCGAGTATCCAAGTGCTTGAAAAGATTGTTTGGTTGCTGCGCAAGTTGTCGTCTGGCACAGGTTGCTGTTGCTTTTTGCCGTTTGTCAAGGGTACAGTGTTGGGTTAAGATGTTGATTCAAGCGTTGAAGTTCACTCTTGAATTGACCGCCATCTGGTTACAAGGACCTCCATGCTGCGTCCGCCACATTGCACAACTTGAATACAAGTAGACAGTGCCGAACTCTGCAGCTTGTGTAACAAATTACCCTGTAGCCTATGCAGTCAAGGCTTAATTGCAGCGATCAAATTAGAAATGAATGATTTTTTACGACCCTCTTGATTATCACAAAATTCATCATTGCACGCTTATTACGTTTGGTGTGAGAAATTTACCGCTGAAGTTTTTCCAGAAAATGAAGTAGTTGTTTTCAACTCGAGTGAGAACCGTGATACTTGCCACCTAGTTCCGGGAATAAAATGTTGGGTGGACCTACATGTATTTAAATTTGTAACCCCCGTAAAATCTTTAAAAGCTTTTGTTTATTCAGCTTTGATCATCATCATTCAAGGTTTCTGAACCATCAAGAGTATCGACTGTACTGCGAAACAACCCTTGAGAAATCTGTGCATGCATATTGCAAAGCATTGCCACAAACACATGTACACGTAAGTATGAAAGCTGACGTGTACATTGTATGTGCCCTGCACCAGGTTACACTCCTACTTCAAGTGTGTATGACTGATGTTATCGAAGCACAGGAACGGTATGTCCTGACGCAGCCAGAAAGAAAATGGCAAAATTTATAATGGCAGGAACGATTGCTGTTTTACAGTAAGCGGACCCTTTGACTGTTTTTTGCTTTTCTGGCGAGAGAGAGGGTCTCCTGCATTAAATACTGTACCGGTACAGCCTGCCGAGCAGTGATTGATAATCGACTGCGTGATTCAGGAGTTAAAAAAGAGAGAGTTTTAGGATGTTGTTGCAGGCCACGATAGACTACTCTTCTCTCTGCTTGTTTCCACAAGCCCAAGGGGTAGTTACTTATTCAACGTCTGGAGGGCTTGAGTCTTGATGATGAGGGCGCTCATGGCCAAACACTCTGGCTTAATGGATTAATATTCTGTTTTGCACCAGTGGTTCTAGTGGCTGGATGTTAGGAAGTGTTGTCTGCATTCTGCACTCTCATTGCTGTTTGCTCTCTCTCCGATCAAGAGTTGACTGTCGAGAATAATTCAGTGGTGTGTTCAGGCCTTGTACCCTGACATGAGACAAGCTGATAAGATTTGCTACCCTGAATTATTTGATTGCGCGTACATGTACTAGACCGTGTGAACGTAACAATTTGAATTCCCCCAGACTAAAGGCACTGTTGCTATATCTCATGATTCGGGGCAAGCTTTTGCGTGGTGACCACCATCTCTGGAATGGACTGGTTCCTTTGTGCCCTCATATCCATTGAAAACAGTGTACTGGTGCAAGGCGTCTCTTATGCAACTAAGCAAAACCTTTTCCCAAATCATGAGGTACATCAATAGCAACAGTGTCTTCATTATGGAGAATTCCAATTATGTTCTAGTGAATTTAAAGAATTTGGTGTACCAGATTTTGTTCAAATTTAACTCACAAAAGGCTTATTGTCTCAGCACGACTTATGTCAATCGCGGTTAAATCTGTGTGCTTAGGCAGTGAGGACCATCGTTGCTATGGAAAAAACATGCCACACCTTGTTCCTACATGTAGATTGAATGGATGGAGGAAATAGTAATGTATGCATTTTTTTCCAAGTGGTAAATTTTAAACTTTTAAAAAGAATATTGCAATGGGGATGGAGTTCATCGCTCCAAAAGGACCATGTTGAAACCCTTGTCTGAATCTTGCCATCGTTGCAGTTGGAAGCAGTTGTAGACATTCAATTTCACAGGCAATTTTTTTCTCTTCAAGATAAGGCTGCATCAGTTGAAATCTTCCAGAATGTAAATGACGCACTCAAATTTTCAACTAGGCGCTCCGATTTCAAAGCTTGGTGGCTACTTTTTTAACATGACAGGAGACAAGCATAAATTGGTTGGCCGCCAGACTGCTACAGGTTGGAGATCGCTACTTTTACTTTAATACGTATTTTTCATGTTGGAAATTCAAGTAAATGAGACAGATTTGCAGAAAAAGTCACAATTAATTGTTCTCTTAGAGGTTTAATTTCCTACATTTGAAGTGCATCTTTTTAATGCACTTCACTGTGTCACTCAAGAAAACAAATCCATAAGTACTTAGGATGAAGGACCAGTTGCCATAGCGTCAAAGGTCAATATCTTAGAGACACGTCTCTGTGAGGTGGCAGTCTGGATTCATGCGACCTTAGAAAGTACATGTACATTGTGTTTATTGAAAGGATGATTTACGAGGCATTATAAGAGACTTGTTGCCATGAGCAGTACTGAGTGCTAGTCGAAAAGCAGTTTCCCATCTGTATTTGAGTTATTATAGTGCCCATAATTCTCTTCAGAAACGGATCCATCCTGGTGGTTAAGAATGAATAGTGGGAAGTGGTTGTGTCTGTCAGCTAGATGGAATTTTGCGTCTGGTGTAAAGCATGGATTCAGCAAAGAGTATGCTGAAGTCCCAATGGCCTTGTTTCTTAGGCTAGTGGGAGGATATAGTGATATGTCCGACACAGGGCACTTTGCTATCCTGATCCGCATTACTTGACAAGGGATACAGTATGTCACTAAAATTGACTTCAGACTATTTTTATTCATCGAGAAGGTATTCTGTATAATTACTTAATCCCAAAATATGTTTTTAACTTATAAAATCATGCGCCCGAAGGAAGAAGGAGAGGTCAAAACTTGGATCCCAAGTTTATTCATACTTACCATATGCATGCATTTTATCGCGGCATTTGCATAATCCCTCTTTTAAATAATGCTTACTTTACAAACAAGGAGGCTCCATAATGCAATGTATTGTAAACATAAAGGGGAAAATGACTTGAGGGCCTCTTTGATTTCACAACACCGGTCAAGTAACATTATTTACACAGTGGTGATCTGTGTCCATTAAATGTTGGTAATTGCACGGAAGCTACCGTACTGTACTGGTGTGGGCGTGCTTAGTAAGGGTCTTCACACTGGAAAGGCCGTGATATCCTGCCTGGTATCCACGGACCTCACGCGTGTACATGGTACAGTCGACTCTCCCTAATGCGAGCTCCGATAGGACAAGATCCGGGTTAAGATGAGCATGTTTCACCTTTCCCGACCACAGTGTGTGCATGTACATTCCTTAAAAGGGAAAAAAGATCTTTAATATGAGCTTGGGTGATATGAGATTCCGGTTAAGACAAGCGCTTGTTCCAGTCTGGTTGAGTGCAAATGTAGAAATGTGTCTATTTAGCGCCACCATTTTGAAAACAACTCGTCAGTCAGTGAACCCATTCAATAAAGGTGCTGTTGTACTAGGTCCGGTGATAATGGTGGTGAATCCATGACTGGGGTTTTTGGGCACATTACATTCCTCAGGGTTTTCTTTGTAGGGGCTTTCATCCTACCCGTTCCGAACGAACACAACAGACAATGGCTGTTTGTGATTGCCAGGCCACCAGAGGGCCAGAATAAGAGAATGAACTCTTTACCAACTCCGCACCAAACATTAAAAAAAAGAGAATAGAAAAATGCCCCTACCCAACTTATAAACTAACATAAAGTTCATTTTTCATTAAATATTTACACATTTTAAATCTCAAAACTTTGTAAGAAAACCTTCATTTCCCTCTATTACCCTGGTCCTGACCCACAGTCACTTCTGTCCACCCAAAAATTCACCTGTTCTCTTTACTCTGTACACGTATAAAATTGCATCTCTGTAGTCAGTCACCAATTGAAATGTTAATGTGTGCACGTTCTCTCTCTACATCAACCATGGCGGTAACTCCAACAGTTATTGGCAATGAGTCTGCTTGTGCCGTTGTTGCATTTTATTAATTTTCATAGTTCTCAACCATTGTACAAATTTTATTGTAACAACTCCTTATTTATTACAAATGTACATGTACATACCCCTTTCATAAAGTACATGTTTGAACTGTTTTGAAAGAAAATTCATCACCTACTGGTAATGTTTCAACAGTAATACGAAGGACAATTAAACTAAATTCTGGATAATACAAGATAATTAAGTAAGTCCTGAGGCCCTTGTATTAACGATTAAAGAGTTACCTATACAGCAATGCCTTGCATGTCCGTATGAGCCTTCGTGCTTCCTCAACTTGTGAACAAACGAGGTCCCTATACTCAGACAGGTGGTGTGGACTGAGCTGGGTCCACAAAAGGTTACCCTATCTCTTGAAAATAAGATTAGAGGTATGGGCATCTGTCCCAAAATGAAGAGGAAAAGATAAGGAAATCATCATCAAAGATCTACAAGTTGCTCGAAATAGATTGTACAGTTTAAGAAAAATGACTATCTCTGATTTTTCTTAACCACAAGAAAACGAAGGGATAACCCCTTTAAATGAAGGCAGGTAACACCAATGTGGGTGCACTTGCTTGTGGGCATGACAGGTACTGAGTTTGCAGGGGTGATCCATTATGCGTTGAAGTGCATCCTCACCTGCAACAAAGAGACTGCCTGGTGGGAATTTTTCCAACTGGGCTTGTGCACACACCCAGCAGATAGACCTATCTGATGACCACACATTCGAACAGATGTATACCGGTAGGTCATAATACGTGCTGAGTACGGGAGCCCGCAAGCGCGTGCACCATGTTCCCACTGAAGGAGCGTCTCTGCTAAAAACACACCTCGATTTCCACTGAGAGTGGATAGTTTGTAGGGTTTGCATGCAGGTCCCATGCAGTGATCCCAAGGTGCCAATGGCCTTTGTAGGCCTCCAAGAATCTTTCCATTTCTTTTGAGTGGGTACTTGCACTTCGAAGCCAGAGGTCACGGAACAGTCGCAAATTTAAGGAGCATCTGAACAGAGTGGAGCTCAACTCTCCTTTTTCTGGAAACAGTGTTAATTTTGCCAAGACCACAAGCACTGGGTACAACAAGGAGTAGACAGAATTTTTCATTTAAAAATGTTGAAGCATTTTCAAAGCTTAGGACATCAGACTTACATGTATAGCATACATGTAGCTGGCTAAAATACATGTACATGCTTGACAGCATACAATAACTGAATAAGCACAGTTATTGCTGCTTTACATGAAATTCTTTTTTAATTTTAAAACAATGTTCTTGCTAGTCATTAAGAAGCTGCATGATACAGCCCAATTCTTCCCACCTGCACCACGTTGCATAATTTTAACAATGTACATGTATTCCTATACTTAGACAATCCCCTCCCCCCCCAAAAAAAATCTCCCAAACTCATTCTTACTGAGCATGGTGTCAGGTGCCGAGGTAAACGGTAACTGCAGGCAATTTTCTCAAATACCGTACATACATGTATCATCGAAATGCACCTTTGTGTCTCAGTTAACCTAATGTTGAACTTTGGTTTCACTATTTCAAAGGCTAGTTTCCTGCCTTTTTATCTTTTATGCCAATGAGTATTTCCACATGTATGAGCAAAACTGTGATGTCATCCCAGGAAGAAAGCCTGAGTTTGACAGTTGAGTTTGGTTTGTGCACAAAAAGTTCCTGCATTTTTGTGGATTATGCAGTCTTCGCTGATCCATTGATGTTTATGCGCACAGCAATAAGAAAGCATCAGTCCCTTTCTCAGAAACATTTTTAGAAAGGATATACTGGGTACACAATGAGCCAGTTTGGTATTTCAATCTCCCAAGGTCTTTCTGGAACTACACTACGCGCGAGTGAGCGTATGACTGTGCTGATAGGACTGACCAATGCGTGTATGAGTTGCTGTTCCCAAACAGCCCAGTCCTGGCCGGGCATGCACTGTTAGAATACCGAACTGGCTCATTTGAACAGAAAAATCTCTGCACTGAACTACATTTGTGTACATGTACATATACATGATCTGTATGCCTTCCCTAGATGACTTCACAGCAACTGCGCCCTCAGTTATGTAGAAAGCACAGATAATATTAACTGGTTAAAAAAATGAACTTGCATTTAACCAAAAAAAGAATGTAAAAGAGTTTTCATACCTGTAAGTTGCACATTGAGGAAGAACACAAAGTTGCAGAAAATTGTGTTGACGAAAACTTCATTGCAGCTACCAGAAGGCTACACTTAAATGCTGTTTGCATGGCCACAAAGTCATTGAATTGTCCACAAATAGGAGCATTCCAGTTTGATTCGGAACAACGACGGACAAGGTTTCACCACTCCTAGATCTGTTTCTTGAAACTTTAATAGAGTAGGGCAAAATTAAAGCCATAAATCGAATACCACATGACCCAGATGTGTCTGGAGGACACTCAGTGAACCAGTACTTATCCCAGCTGAACAAAAGAAGGTCTGCTAATTGAGCGTATTAGCCATGGTTGAGCAGATACCCTATCTCCTTATGCAGAGGAAAATTACCAAGCATGATGGGGTTTTTGAGTATGTGTAGGGTTGTTTGGTTTGAGTTATTTTGATGGCCGTGGATGGCCAGGATTCCCTGGGCATGTCCTGTAGGCTTTTTTGGCCAATCACGCACACACATACAAATCATACAAATCACATCAAACAGTAAGGTCTAAAAAAATAAAACACACACACACACACAAAAATCTAATCTATGCAATCTATCAAATTGCCGTCTGGGATTTCACCTTTAGGATTGTTCTCACTGGAATGCGAGTTAAGAAGTGACTGTTCTGCATTAGATACTGTACGGTATATCGGTATATTAGGGTTAGATATTTTACTCTAATTATTAAGTGACAGTTCTGCATTAGATACCGTATTCCGGTATATCCCAATTAGATAATGTACTCTAATACTGTGGCGTGGAGCTGACCTGTTCCATCAAGTGAAAACATGCATGATCATTTACTCCTATTTTGGTTTAATGAATTATATACATGTACGAGGCCTCGACCTTGGCACTTGACCGGCATACAAGTCCTGCAGGCTAGTACAATACTGTACATTCTTTAACACGCCTAGTGTTCTCGTAAAAGAAACACCTATCTGTTTGAAACAGTTGTTTGCCTTATATGGAAAGATGAACAAACAAAATTTGATAACATTGTAAATTTTGATTGTACATGTTTTTATTATTAATTGTATCAGTTTTGAATCCTCCATTTGTGAGTTTTCAAATAGACAGCATTACTCCACATTAAAGGTTGAAAAGAATAAATTGGAAAGAAGTTGGTCATAGTTTTGCTAAACAATGTCCAGTTGGCTCGTGAAAGTTCCTGCGGGTTAGTAAAGAAAATAAGTTACACCTGTAACTTGTCTGTGCTAATTAAAAAGCCTAAGGTCGAGGCATGTATTATACGAACACTTGCCAAGCAAGATCAGGGTTCATCTCAATTCCACATTAGGACATGTAGGATCACAGGAGTCATTGGCAGGAATATTTAATAGCGTTTTTATCAATCATGTGCAGGGGCAGTAGATTCTCTCATGCTAAAATTGAGGAAACACTCTGCGAAGTAACTGTTTTTTGTTGACATCTGGCTCTTCCACAGACTTTAGAAGTCACAGCGACAGTTGGAAACAGATTGTGGTTCGTACAAAGTATCATTGGTGAAAATACCAGTAAATGGAACCCAGCCTGACTTCCATTTATGACTTACCCATGGTTTTTGGAAAGAAGCTTAATACTGATTTGCCGTCTTTGCCGTAATTGTTGTTCAACATTGGATAGGCACAAAAGACGATTTGTCATTGGCTGCTTCTTTGTTAAAATAGCCATGAAAGTCATATTATCACTTTCATGCTTTACTTGTACATATTCATTGTAGCTGTTGTTTTGAGGCCTGTGAGATGTGAAGAGGTGAAGTTAAATAATCAGAGACTTTCGTCCTGCATTGGAGTTCCTGACGTGGTGTTGGCCAATGTTTCAAGCAGATTTCCTGTACAGTGGATCTCTGCAGTGCCCTCACCCCCTCCGGGCTCAGTGTTGCAATGGGTGATGGCACTGTGAGGACGCTCAAGCAGCATGTCCTCGCAAGACGCTGGGTTCTCTGCAGTGACACGGTTCACGTTGTTCAGCACCTTGCTCGCGTTCCCCGAATCGCCCAAGCCAGTCTCCGTCCTGTTCCTCAGGATGCGCACCGCCTGCAGCGCTCGGACGCCCTGACTCCGCAGGACCTGGCGGAATGCCCGGTTGAGCAGGGAGTACAGCCAAGGGTTGATGGCCGAGCTCAGGAAGGTGAGCCAGAGGGAGACGGCAGTAAGGATGAAGGGAAAGTCAGTCTGGGTGGTGGCCTGCCAAAGGCTGAGAACGGTGAAGGGGATCCAGCAAACGAGAAACACACCTATCCAAAACCCAGTGCAAAAAGGAAAGAAAGAGCAGTCAGAAGATCGTGGTACTCATCCCATTTGTACATTTTTGTAGCAAATTTCTCAGTAAGGATAGCTTAAATTTTGACAAGGAAAATGTACAGATCGGTGTCAATGTGGTGTGGGATGTTCGTCTCTTTTGAAAATCATCTTGAGAAGAGAAAGTTTTTTGTCATAGCGCCATTATATTATACTCCATACTTCTGCAAAATACAATCTTTTGGACTTTAACTTCGATTTTGAGAGAAAAAAAATCAGGTGAGTTGTGTTGTAACAACACCACTTTTATATCCTCCGGGTTGTCACACTTATTGCTGTTAAATTCTGAGAGCTTCAAAGAGAACTGGTCATTAATGCCAGCTGCCTTGAAAGGTATGCAATTTCAGCACACTGTATGTGGCTGTGGTTGCTAAACTGTTTCAGAAAAAGCATGTATTATACAGTACATGCATTGATGTCAGATGTACACGTCTGAAATTACATGTACTTCACAAAATAGAAGTAATCAATTTAAACCTACAAGCTGATCTCATTTCACATCTTTCGTGAAGGGCTTTCTGCACTTTTCAAACCAAAAGTCCAAATTTTATCCAAAACAACTGAAAAGAAATTGGATAATGAGGTATTCAATGAAACGGAATAACGGAAAATACTGTCCACAAAGATACGCAAATTTTTCTAAATCAAATCATGGATTGCCAAACATTAAAACTCTCATAAAGTTCAGTTTTCTGCAGTTGGCAGTCCTCTTGATTTTTTTATATATTTATTTATTTATTTATTTATTTTTGTTGGTTCAAAGTACTGGAAAGTAAATGGCAGCAGCATTACCAAATGTGAATTGGCCCCTATGTCCTGCTACGCCAGTTGTACCTGTACCTGTACATGTATGCCCATGCATACATGCTGCATGTGGATTGCCTTTCTCCCATAATTAAAACATTACACATCAGTTCACTAATAAATTCTAATTTATGTACGCCTGCATGTAAATGGCATTTGGATGCAATAAGCCTTAGCCGCTCAGTGAAAATACAGAGGCGTACTTTTTAACCTTTTCTCTGAGCTTCTGCACTTTTTTCACTTCAGTCTTAGGAGAACACTCTAAAATCATTATACAGTGTAGCCTTTACTTTTTGTCAAATGAGATTTTACACTGCAATAAATGAAAAACAAACAAACAAACTTGCTTTCTTCCTGAGTGCTTAAGGTCAATAGAGTTTAACAGGGATCCTCTCCAACCATGTTTAATTTAAATATGAAAGTTGTACTCCAGCGTACCACAGTGTACTTGTTTATGTATATATCACTTGCACATGTACGTACATGTAGGTGCCTACTTTTATGTCGTACTGTGAATTGGACCTCAAAAGGCTTAAAAATGGGAGTTATTGGAAATAGCGGTCACTTCACATGGGTATTCCCTCGATGGCATTCATCAAGAGAACCACTGTTATCCGTCTAATATCAGATGTTTGCAACTTATGTTGGTACCCCAATGTATCGCACAATTTGTTGTAACTTGTACAGCTCACAAGAAGGGAACCACACTGATTTCTTTTGACCTCATGAATGAAACTTTGCAAGTGTTCATTTTGTTCTACAAAAATTCCTCTCCCACCAAAATGTTATAGCTATAATGATTTTGGAGGGTTTACAAAGACAAAAGTGAAAAAAGTGTAGAAGCTGGGAGAAAATCATGTTGAGATTTGTGCCCCTGTACATTTTCAATGGGCCGCTCAAGCTTTTTGCCTCTACACGTAGTTGCCACTTATGAGGCAAATAAATTAGAATATATAATTTTAAAATTTTACTCATTTTCTCATTATTTAAAGCTAAGTTTTCAGTGGCAAATAAAGCCCAATTCTTGAATGTTGTTAAAAATGATGTATGCTTCAAAAAGTGCACACCATAAACTTGAAAGTGATATATAACATTTCACTTTCGGACCATTTTGAAATTTTGACACTGGTTGATATGATTTCAGGGAATTGCCCTGCTGTGTACGTGTACATGTACATGTATGTGTTTACATCCTTTGTCAGTGTAAATCTATCCGGGGGGACTTTGAAGCATGATGTGTCTGATACAGTACTGCTGTGTACAAATAAGGAACACAACTCTTTTAACAGCTCCCTTTTGAAAATCTTGTCTGGGAATAAGAGTCTTTTTATGTGTAGTTCACATCAACATACCAGTAGCCATGGTAACACAGACCAGAACACCGTGCTCTAACTCAAGTCAATCTCTAATTCCATTCATCAAGTTCTGTTTGCAGAGAGTCTTACAAAATCTTCAATCCATTACTGTACATTACATGTACCTCAGTGTAAGCATCAGTCATTCTGAAGTGCATGCCAGTGGAAATGGATCGCACTGTGGGAAGTTGTTTGTTTGCTGATGTTTGTTTTGTGCAGGCCCGTGTTTCATCTGTGGCCAGGAATTGAGTAAAACAACTGATATGACTGAGAATGGATGATATCTAGATTACACGAGTGAAGTAGCGTAGGGACACGTGCTAGTCCCGCTCTGGCTCATTGTCAGAGTTTTGTTTGCTGCAAAATTACATGTACATGTACGTTTTCTTCCCATTTGTGCTAACATTACAAAGTTTAGCAGTGAAGAGTAAACAAAAGTCAGTTTACTCAACAGGTAAACTAAGATTTAATTTGGGACTACTTGTAACCCATTTATTTCTGTAATTTGCTCTTTAATTCTCCTGCCCAGTGCATTTTGCAACCTACAAACCCTGTCTTTCTATGAAGTGATTCTTAATGGAACGCCAAGTCCGGTATGTGTATTGCATTGCTTGACGTTCCCGGAATCCTTCTGAACAGTGGAGGATGTTGTCTGTGCCACCGGCACGTGAAGAAGTACATGTAATGTCGTGCTCATGCCCAGGTGGTTCATCTGTGTTACACCATACATCGCTCTTCCTTTAGTAATGGTGTGACAGACGTCAGAGAATATGTACATGCACGGTATGCATTTGAGTTGACGTCCTTGCATTGTCGGTGTTGCCTGGATTAAGTCTGAATATTCATGTGCCTCATTTAACCTTA